CGTGGCTCTGCATGCCCTGTTATGAACTGGGCCATGGGTGACCCACACCTACACAAGGAACTATATTACAACAATTATGGTCTTTAATCATTTTTAAACTAATTAGCACATGTTTATTGAAGCCATGGGGACAGTTAGTAATTTTCAAAAATCCTCATTGCCTCTAACCTTGAGGGACTGAGGTAGAACTTGAAGAGGTAATTGAATCCCCTAAGGAAAGGGGGCTAGTCCCTGGTGAGGCCGAAACGAGAATCCTGATTGTGAATACTTTCTCTTATCTCCCTGATTTGAAACGTAGTTCCCAGCGCCCCTGAGATAGATGTGGCGGAATCCTTGGTGGCCGACAATTGTGTAACCCTTGTTTGGAAAATGCCGGAAGAAGATAGCAAGATTGACCATTACGTGATGGAATATCGCAAGACCAACTTTGAAGGGCCTCCTCGGGTCAAGGAGGACCATCCCTGGATGGTGATCGAAGGGATCAGGCAAACTGAATATACGCTGTCCGGTAAGGCAAGCTGGTTGGGACCCAAGAGCTGGGTTCAAATTTATCTACTGGGGTGTGGGGGTGGGGTCGGGTGAAACAGCTTACCTCTTATGGGGGTGGGAGACTATCTCACCCACTAGATTTGGAATTCGCATTTTGTCTGAGGATGCTAAAAAGGTCTGGAACAAACCATGATGATGTGGAGCTCATTAAGGTGACATTTTGCACAAACCACAATGATATCAATCAATCAGAAGAGAGATGGAAGGGACCTTGGAGGTCTTCTAGTCCAACCCCCTGCTCAAGCTGGAGATGCTATATCCGTGATAGCGAACCTACAGCACATGTGCCACAGGTGGCACACAGAACCCTCTCTGTGGGCACACACGCTGTCGCCAGCTGCTCTTCTGGTTTCCGGTGTGCACATGTGCACCAGCCAGCTGGTCTTTGTGGGTCCCAGAGCCCCTGAAAATGTCCTGGAAAACAGCCTGGAAACAGCCCAAAAAACAGACTGAAAACAGCCCCAAAAACAGACTAAAACGGCTCCAAAAACGACCTGAAAATGGCTCCAAAACAGCCTGAAAATGACCAGAAAAACAGTCTGAAGACAGCCCAAAAACCAGCCTGAAAATGGCTTGAAAAACAGCCTGGAAATGGCTGGAAAAACAGTCTGAAAACAGCCCAAAAACCAGCCTGAAAATGGCTTGAAAAACAGCCTGGAAATGGCTGGAAAAACAGTCTGAAAACAGCCCAAAAACCAGCCTGAAAATGGCTTGAAAAACAGCCTGAAAATGGCCAAAAGAACAGACTGAAATTGGCTTGAAAAAAGTCTGAAAACAGCTCAAAAAGTTGACTGAAAATGGCCCCAAAAAACAGAAAACAGCCCAAAAATGGTCTGAAAATGGCTCCAAAAACAGCCTGAAAATGGCCCGAAAACCAGTCTGAAAATGGCTAGAAAAACAGTCTGAAAACGGCCCAGAAAACAGCATGAAAACAGCTTAAAAACAGCCTGAAAACAGCTTAAAAACAGCCTGAAAACAGCTTGAAAAATAGACTGAAAACAGACTGAAAAACAGACTGAAAACGGCTCAAAAAACAGACTGAAAACGGCCCCAAAACAGACTGAAATTGGCTTTAAAAAAGTCTGAAAACAGCTTAAAAAATGGACTGAAAATGGCCCAAAAAACAGACTGAAAACAGCCCAAAAAACAGCCTGAAAATGGCTCCAAAAATGGCCTGAAAACAGCCCCAAAACAGCCTGAAGACGGCCTGAAAACCGGTCTGAAAATGGCTAGAAAAACAGCCTGAAAACGGCCCGGAAAACAGACTGAAAACAGCTTGAAAAATGGCCTGAAAATGGCTCAACAACAGCCTGAAAGTGCCTGAAAAATGGCCAAAACCGGCTAAAAAACAGACATCTGATCTTCAGGTTTCCGGTGCTCCGGTGTGCGCACCTGCACACACATGCACAAGCGTTCCGGTTTGGGCACTCGGTGCTGAAAAGATTCACCCTCACTGCCCTACATGGTGGTTGACATAGATAAATATTCATTTCCCTTCACTTCCTCTTTGCTGTTCCATCTCTACAGGGTTGAAATTTGACATGAAGTACATGAATTTCCGGGTCAAAGCCTGCAACAAGGCTGTGGCAGGAGAGTTTTCGGAGCCGGTCACTTTGGAAACAAGAGGTGAGCAACCCCAAGAGGTGGTTTATGCATAGGTGGGGGTGTGGGCAATGTGGATTTCCAGCACCGCTAAAAATTAACCAATATTAGAAAGTTCCAGTTCTGATGCTTGCGGTTTCCTAGTTTGGATTTATGGGGAATCCAGGTTTGGGATTCCCCCAAAGTGTTAAACTCAGCACCTGGAACGAAGGTCAAAAAAGTCAAAATGGTGGCTGCATCTGGAGGATCAGGGCCTCAGCTAATGACGTGGGTTGAGTCTGCACAATGTCAAGAGAAAAGGAGAATGAGGGTTGGGCTGTACCAGAGGTGGTATTCAGCCGGTTTAGACTGGTTCGCCCAAACTGACAGTGGGAATTGCGGGTGAGCCCGCCCACGTGCCCCAGCGCTATGCCATTCTATTCAGGCACATTTTCAAGCCCCGCGCATGCGTGCAAGCCCCACGCACGGTCACATTTGCGAACAGGTAGGGAAAGTAAGTGAATAGCACCCCTGGGCTAGATAGTCTAAAAGGTCCCTCCCTCCCGTTAACTTGTTGATCAGTAAAGTTGAGCGCCGTTGCAGGGAATTATCCCTCCCAGTAAGTAGAGCAGACTAGGAAATCCGCAGGAAGGTCAAAACTATTTGATAAATATTGGCTATACAGCTGCTAGCCCTTAGCTTATGCCTGTGGTTCGGCGACCTCTGTGGTCTTTAAGGCAGAAATGATCTGGGGATTTTGGATCACGATTGAGAAGAAAGGGAGGAAGAGAGGGAGGGAGGGGTGGGAGAGGAGGGAGAAGGAAGAAAGAGATTGGGAAGGAGAGAAGGAGGGAAGGAGGAAGAAATTAGGAATGAGAGAGGAAAGAGAGGAAGGAAGGGATAGGGAGACAGGGGAGGGAGGGAGGGAGGAAGAAAAGGAAGGAAGGAAGGAAAGAAGGAAGGAAGGAGATGAAAAATTTAGAGTGGGGGGAAGGCAGAGAGGAAGGAAAGGAAATGGTGGGAGGGAGGAGAGGAGAGGAGAAATTAGAAGAGGGAGGGAGGAAGGAAGGAAAGGAAATGACGGGAGGGAGGCCAGGAGAGGAGAAATTAGGAGTGGGGGAAGGGGAGGCAGAGAGGAATAAAAGGAAAAAGGAAAGGATGGAAGGGAGGAGAGGAGAGGAGAAATTAGAAGTGGGAGGGAGGGTGGGAGGAAGGAAGGAAAGAAAGAATGAGATGAAAAATTAGGAATGGGAGGGGAGGCAGAGAGGAAGTAAAGGAAAAAAGAAAGGAAAGGAAATGACAGGTGGGCGCAGAGGAGAGGAGAAATTAAGAGTGGGAGGAAGGAAGGAAGGAACGAAGGAAGGAAGGAAAGAAAGAAAGAAATGAGATGAAAAATTAGGAATGGGAGGGGAGGCAGAGAGGAAGTAAAGGAAAGAAGAAAGGAAAGGAAATGACAGGTGGGTGCAGAGGAGAGGAGAAATTAGGAGCAGGAGGAAGGCAGAGAGGAAGGAAAGGAAATGGTGGGAGGGAGGAGAGGAGAAATTAGAAGAGGGAGGGAGGAAGGAAGGAAAGGAAATGACGGGAGGGAGGGCAGGAGAGGAGAAATTATGAGTGGCGGAAGGGGAGGCAGAGAGGAAGAAAAGGAAAAAGGAAAGGATGGAAGGGAGGAGAGGAGAAATTAGAAGTGGGAGGGAGGGTGGGAGGAAGGAAGGAAGGAAAGAAAGAATGAGATGAAAAATTAGGAATGGGAGGGGAGGCAGAGAGGAAGTAAAGAAAAAAAGAAAGGAAAGGAAATGACAGGTGGGCGCAGAGGAGAGGAGAAATTAGGAGCAGGAGGAAGGAAGGAAGGAAGGAAGGAAGGAAGGAAGGAAGGAAGGAAGGAAGGANTTAATTATATTTTGCAATTAAAATACACACACACACACACATATACACATAAACATTTATATTGTTATAGAGCATCAATGGTATCAATTAATGGCTGAATGACTTCTCAAAGGGTTTGGAATGCTTGAGCACTTCCAGAAATTTAATACACTGAATGAAAACACCGTATCACCTTAGATTCTGGGGAAGCAATGGGGAGTTGAAGACAGCTCTGCTGAGAGTAATGCCAATAACTGTGGTGAAATGAGGAGCCGGTGAAGGAACCAGCTTCTTGGAATTCCTTTCCAGACAAAGAAACAACTCAGGATAGACCACATGCACTCCATACAGAAGCTCCTCACAAAGAGACTGTAATAATGCAGTCTTGGATGAGTTTAGAGCTCTGGGAGTCGAGGAATTGCCATCTTCACTCAAGATGTGGTTCAATGCCTTTCAAAAGGACATTGGGTCCTTTCTTAATCCTTTTTGGAAATTATGGACAATAAGAAACTTCAGAAAGACCAATTTCATTACACTGAGTAAGGTTCCTTCAATCCTTAATGAAATAAGTCTTATGCAAGTTTAAGGACTTAAAAAAAGTCTTCTTTTGGAATGAATAGCAAAATGGTAATTAGAATATTAATTTTGGAAGATTATAAATGAATCAAGAAACCAGATGGATTTGAAAAAAGGCTCTGAAATTAATTATGACAATCCAGTAGGTTGTTTAGAATTCTATAAAAATATTAAGATTTTTAGATTAAGTATAAGAAACCATCCCGTATGAAAAGAAAAACATAAGAAGACTGACTTAATAATTTTCTTTTTTTGAATTTACAAAAAGAGACATGTTAAAATTTTGAAAGAGCTTCTGAGAAGAGACAAGAATAAACAAAAAGAAATCAAGTTCTAGGACCCTTTTTAAATAGATTAAAGATCAAGATTATTAAAAGCAAAGAGAAGGAATAGAAAATTGGTTTATTTGATCAGCTTAAATCTTGGAAGAAGAGATATTTTTGCTATATTTTTGGAGAATGTTAGAAGTAACGTTCTGCTTTAAAAATAAAGTAATTTAGAGTGGGTTTATTTGATTAAGGTTAAAGCACATATGTTGTTATTTCTGGTAACTTAATGATTTGCCATTTCTTTGTACATCTCTTTTCTTTATGCACATACATAAAGGTAAAGTTCCACTCGCATATATGTGCTACTTGTTCCCAACTCTAGGGGGAGGTGCTCATCTCCCTTTCAAAGCCGAAGAGTCAGCCCTGTCCAAAGACATCTCCGTGGTCATGTGGCCAGCATGACTAAACGCTGAAGGCGCATGGAACACCAAAGGTGGTTCCTATTTTTCTACTTGCGCTTTTACAAGCTTTCAAACTGCTAATATGTACACACAGATATACATATAGTTTTTTAAATGATTTTTCTATGCAGTTTTATTTTTTAAACTTTTCATATTTTTCTATTAGTTTTTTATCTTTCTATCTTTAAACCTTAATAAAATTGTGATAAAAAAGAAAAAAAGCACAAGTATGGCACATTTCAGTGGCTGGTACTTACTACAAAAAACAATTTTTAAAAATCAAGTGTATTTTGTCTGGCAAAATAGAGAATCACCTCACAAAAATTAAAGTCACCAATAAAAAATAAATTGTGAACACATGCCTATTAAAAGAGTGACTGCAAGATAAAACATAGTATATTCAAAATAAACAAGTTAAGGAAAACCAAATAAGGTCATCTTCTACAGATCATCTTACATAAATAGCAGTATCACAGCAGAAACTGCTACTCATTTCTTAAAAATAGAATAACTTATTTTTAGCTCAGAAGACAGTGCAATTGTTTCTTCTGTTCAAAATTGCTAATCAACTTGGTAAGCTAAAAAAGTGCTTTCCTCAGCAATGCACAATTATAGAATCTGCCTAGGGTCTTGTGAGATGCAGTAACATCATATTTACAATTCTGTGCATCATTCATCAACACAAGAAACAGATTGCCATAATTGGAAGTCCACTTGTTTTCAAACTTCATTATTTTCTGACTTCAAATATAGTTTACATTTCAAGAGAGACTTGTGCTTTCACTCCATCAAAGGCAAATTTGGGAAATCACTGGTATTCTATGTTCTTGTTTGCTTGTAAATATGTTACACTACTTAACTAGGTAACAGCATCAGTGCTAGTAAGTGTGGGGTTCACTCCCAGGTTATTACAGTAGCTTGCCCTGCCAGTATTGATGAGGGTGTGGCTTTCTCCTTGGTAATTCCTTGACTAGGATATCATTTTCTGCTAGAGTGTTTTTCTGGTGTTAATCCCTGCTTATCTGGTTGTTGGTTGATGGCAAGAATATGTTCTCCTCCTTAGCTTTCTTATTATCTCTTTAAAATGGTCTGTAAATGTGATTTAATCTCTATGTGCTTATTGATGGCTGATTTGTTTGAAGGATAAGTTACCAGGAATTCCCTGGCATTTTGGATTTAGCATTTTGGTCTAAGATGCTCAGTGTTTCCCAGCTGAAACTATGGTTGAGCCTGACCATGTAATATTAAGGGATTTCATTTTGTTCTCTCACTGCTAGTGTTCATGGATGTGCTCTACTAGTCTTCTGTCTGTCTGTTCTAAATAGTGGCTGCTATAGTCCTTACATTATATGTTGAGATGAGTCTTGCTTTTTCTTCTTGGCCTACTGGGTCTTTTTATTTGCTTACGACATTTTAGAGGGCTTTAGTTGTTGTGTGCTATGGTGATGTGTGTTGGTTGTTTCTGAGATGTTTTTGATATATAGTATTAACCCATTCATGCTTGTTTTGATTGTGCTATAGTGGGTTAGATCAGTGTTTCTCAACCTTGGCGACTTTCAGTCCTTTGGACTTCAACTTCCAGAATCCCCCAGCCAGCATAGCTGGCTGGGGGAATTCTGGGAGTTGAAGTCCACAGGACTGAAAGTCACCAAGGTTGAGAAACACTGGGTTAGATGGTCAGCGCTTTAATAAAGTTACAGGGTATCAATTTTGTTGGACGATGATTTAAATGTAGGTACTTTGTTTTCTTTTCCTGGTGCTGTGGATTGCTGCAGTGCACTTGTACTATTGTAGTTCTTACACTGTTCCTCTTGTGGAAAGTTGGATTGCTCCTTTGGTAAAAGAGTCCTGGTTGGTATAGATTGTTTTTTTG